TTTCAGTTGTTCTTAAGGTGTCAAGTGTCTATATGCAAAGAAAAGCCAAAAACTATGGTTTTTATTATTAAATGAAGATATAGCCTAAAGATGTTTTGCGGGCTTTACGGCATAACCAAGTTTCATTCGCCCGGTCTCCTGGGCAGTAGAAGGCAGAGTTCAGTTGACCATTTTTGATAAAAGAAGGAAATTAAATTTTTCCATCCTTGGTTTACCTACTCCTTATAGTATTATTCCTAATGTTTTGTTAAAAGGTATTATTATATCACAACTGAAAAGATTTTTAACAGTATGCAATAGTAATAACTCTCTTATGGATAATGCTTCCTTATTCATAAATAAACTAAAAAATAATAGATATGGAGATATACAACTTAAAACGTTTTTGCTATTTTTTATAATAAATATAAATTTATTTTATATAATAAACTTTTCAATCATGGAAAACTTCTTACTTAGAGGTTGCTAGTTTATCAAGGGTGACCTTGAACAACTAACTTGGTTACAAAACCAGTTTTTATTCAGTATGCCGTGACTGGAAAGACCAACTTCAAGTAGCTGGGTCTGCCTCAGCTTTCCTGTGTCATACTTGAATAAGCTTTTGACAATTTATAAGTAAGTTACATAATTATTTTTTTTAAAGACCTTTATAAGGGTGGTGGTTGGGAGTTATGTACTGTAGAAATTGTGGATGGTTCGGTTTCTATTTAGAACTTAAATAACTAAGGGTAACTGCCTTCCCACATCTGGTTGGGAGTTATATACTGTAGAAATTGTGGATGGTTCGGTTTCTATTTAGAAGTTAAATAACTTAAGGGTAACTGCCTTCCCACATCTGGTTGGGAGTTCTATACTGTAGAAATTGTGGATGGGTCGGTTTCTATTTAGAACTTAAATAACTTTAAGGGTAACTGCCTTCCCACATCTGGTTGGGAGTTTATACTGTAGAAATTGTGGATGGGTCGGTTTCTATTAGAAGTTAAATAACTTAAGGGTAACTGCCTTCCCACATCGTGGTTGGAGTT